CCAAGAATATCTTCTTTTTAAAAGGAATCTTGTGTGATTCCCATTTTCCTACAGGATTGCACTTACAGCAGAGCACAGGTCCACCTACCTAATAGAAGGAAGCACAAATTGGCTTTTAAAGATACAGAGAGCTTTCCTGAACCCATCTTTCTCAACACCTTAAGTTGCCTAACACTGTCTTCTGCCCTGCCTGTGTATCAGTTTGGCCATGCTTTGATGAGACTGCTGTTGTGTTTCCATCTGGTAGATCTCCAGTGGGCAGAACTGACTGGAATAGGAGACTGGAGGGGTTCTGCTGGGTTACTCTGCTTCCTGCTGGCAGTGGATGAAGAATTTGAGCCAGAAGTTTGGGAATTCTTATGTTCTCACCATCCCTCTCGACTGAAGGAGACAACCCTGAGAAGTGAAAGTGCTACCCGGAGTGGCTATCGTTTTGGAAGTCTGCATGTCTGTATTGGATGGTCATTGAGCTTAATGGAACTCAAAAGATGCCGGCAGACATCTTTTTTTGCAGTAAGATCTGAAGCCCATCCAAGAGAAAAACCTTTGGAGAAAGAAGCGAAGGACCTAAATAGCCCTAAATTGTACTCAGAGTAATATTGTCTTCCCAGTGTCGCTCAGAATGAATAAATAGCATGATGAATTATTAAGATTTTGGTTCAGTTCTGCTTCATAAACATTTTGGAACAGTGAAATAAGAACTGTGGGAAATATATGAGGGCTCTGCAGTAATGTGACTGATTTTTAATAAACATGAATTTATAAATTTATATATTCAAAGCTTGGTCTTCTTTGAGAGTTTATATATGTTTCCAGGGATGTTTTTCTTACTCAAAAATTTTCTTTTTTTTTTTTCCAGTACCAGGGATCAAACTCAGGACCTTGCGCTTGCAAGGCAGGTGCTACTCAAAAATTTTCTAATTCCCCACTTGAAGCCTGTGTCCAGCCTATAGAATATTTAAAAATATATGTATAAAATACACACATGTATATATAATATAGATTTTATTTATTTATTTGGTACTGGGGATCAAACTCAGGACCTTGCGCTTGTGAGGCAGGCAGCAGCACCACTGAGCTAAATCCCTGGCCCTAGATTTTACTTTTGAAACTAAGTTATTTGGTGCTAAGTCCTATGAATGAGTTAAGAGGGCAAGATAGATAATATTCTGTTTATTTAAAATGAGGTGTGACTATTACTGAGTGTGAGGTTTTTGGGTAAGGCTCTATGATACTGAAGGAGTTCCTCTTGCATTGTGTGAAACGATACTATTACAATAAGCCTATATCTTTCCAAAAGGAAGTGCTGTACTCGTTTACATATAGTTCTGATGTGTATATAAAAAGTTCTAACTTTTTACGTAGGGAGCCAGACCTGAAAAGGCTGTGAACCTTTAGGAAACTTATGTCCTTTTTTTTTTTGTACTAGGGATTGAAGTCAGGACTTTGGCACTTGCAGGGCAGGTGCTGCGCCACTGAGCTAAATCTCTGCCCCCAAACTTCTGTCCTTCTTGGAGGCAGTGTGTCAGCAAATGTGAGAGCCAGAGAGCGGTAACTGGTATTGTTTACTTGGGACTGAAACAGGGCCGAGGGGATTGTATGATATGAGCAAGAAGCTGGCTGGCTGATAGGCTTCACTCTTCAGTTTTTACGTACATTCTTACAGATGGAGCTTGTCGTATTTGTCAGCGTTCTGTCACTGTGACAAAATACTAAGAAACCTTATAGGAAGAAAGGTTTATGTTGGCGCTTGCTCTCCAAGGTTTCAGCCCGTGTTTGGCTGGCTCCATTACTTTGGGTCTGAAGTGAGGCAGAGCATCGTGGCAGAAGGTGTGACAGAGAAAACTGCTGATCTCATGGCAATCAGGAAGCAGAGAGAGCACAGGAGGAACTCAGTGGAAGTGGCAGGGGACGAGATATAATAACCAAGGTCAGAGCCCCATGATCCACTGCCTTCAACTAGCCTCCTTCTCTTTTCCCATCACATCCCAGTAATTCCATCAAATCATCCCATCAATGGATTAATCCACTCAATGAAGTTAGTCTTCATAATATAATCACTTCCCGAAGAACCCCCAGTGGCAGCCAAGCCTTTAGCACAGGAGTTGTGGGGGACATTTCAAATCCAAACTGATTCACCTGAGCCACTGAGCACTGTGGTAGGTATTGAAGATCACAAAGATGCATCCTATCCTCAAAGAGCTTGTATTAGTTTTCTATTATTGCTGTAACAAGTTACTGTTAACTTAGTGTTTTAAAACAAAGCAAATTTATTATCCTATAGTATTCTTGGTTAGAAGTTAGGCATAGGGAAAATTGAAGGAAAATCAAAGTGTCTGCAGGATTGTGTTCCCCTGAAGCTCTAGGAGAGTGTGTTTCCTTGCCTTTTCCGGTTTCCACAGGATGCCTGCATTCTTTGGCTTTTGACTCCTTTTCTCCATCTCCAAGGCCAGCGAAGTTGCATGTCTGTGACTATTTTTCCATAGTCATATCTTCCTCAGCCACAGCTGAAAAAAGTTCTCTGCTCTTAAGGATCCGTGTGATTATACTAGGCTCATAGGATGATCTAGAATAATCTCTCTATCTCATGGTTCCTAATCATGCCTACAATTCCATTATTCCAGGTACCTTTTGGAGGTTCTGTGCTTAGAATATGGATATCTTTGGGTGTTCACTGTTCTACCTACTAGTGGCAGATGGGCAGGTAAGTTGGTCACTTAATACAATGTTCAAGTGCAATAATGGAAAAAATTATATATAGCATAGAGGAAAGTGGTAGTTTGACAAATGTCAGTTATAATTGAGGCACCAACAGCAAGGGTGGAGAGGGGGAGGTGGGTTCCAGGAAGGTAGAATGGGCATGGTTTGGGGACTGTCTTAGTGTAGAGGGTGAGGAGGAGAGAGGTAATTAGAACGACTCCAGAATCTGAATTGAAACTTAGGCCTTCTGCTGAGGAAGTACACTAGAGGATGTATTTTTAGGGTTCTTTGGTTGTAAGTAAAAGAAATCTGAGTTGAATTAGGTAAAGAAGGGAATTCATTATGACTTTAGAGAGGAAGTGTGGCTCTTAGAACTCAGGACAGGATTGTAGCTGGGCAGCAGAAATCAACTTGCAAAGGAAATAGTGCAATCAGGGCTCCTTTCTGTTTTCCTCTTGCTTCTGTCTTTATGTCTGTTTCTCTGAAGACCAGCATCCCCCTTCTATTGCTGAAAATACTACTAACCACAGTTGCTGGTTTTACTCCTCATCTGTAGTTCAGTCACTCAGATGATGGCCAATCTATCTCTCAATTCTACGTTCCTAGGAAAGGGCTTTGATGGGTTCAGCTTGAGTCACTTGCTCTTTGCAGTGCACAGAGCTGTGGCCAGGGGCCAGTTCATGCCATTCTGTTCTCATGACAGCCCCAGCTGCAACCATGTGGTGGATGGAGGAGTGATTCTTAGAGTGCTGGGCAAGAGGTGTTCCAGTAGAAATCCACATCAGTGGACAGGATGATGCATTCAGTTAAATTTGTCTTTCTCTCTTGGTTTTTTAAAAAATTGAGATATGGTGTACATAATTTACAACAACAAGCATAGAACTTAAGTGTTTAATTTGATGTTTTAACAAATATATATTCACCTTCTGTGAAGGTATAGAAATGTTTCATTACTCCAGAAAGATTCCTTATGCCCCCTACAGTCAATCTACACCCTTCAAATGCACCTGCAGTTCTGAATTATACAACCATAGAATAGTTTTACCTGTTGTGGAACTTGATATATATGCAATTAAACAATAGGTACTTTTTGACCTTTTTCATTCCACGAAATGTATATGGGATTCAATCATGTTGCTGCTTTTCTGTTGCTGAGAACACTATATGCATATATCACATTTGTTTATTCATTTACTTGATGGACTTTTCACTTGTTTCAGGTTTTTGATTGTTATTAACACTTTTACATAAGCTTATTTAGGGTTAGAGGGAAATTTCCAGCATTAAATGCTGAGATTAGAAAAGATGAGCTCAGTTTTGAGTAAGATGAGTCACAAGTATTCTTGGGACATTCAAATAGTGAGATCTGGGATCCTACTGGAGTATAGGATACAGACATGGTCTGGCTATTTCTATTTCTGTAGTCTCTAGTCTTTATGCTGAGTTAAAGCCATGGGAAAGTGTTCAGGTGGAGCCCAAAGTGTGAGACAAGAAAGTGCCCATATATGAACTCCTGAGGAGAATTGATATTTGAGGAGCAGGGGAAAGAGGAATCCTATAAAGAGGCTGAAAAGCGTGGCCATTTATCTTTGTGTCTCCATCATAAGGCACAGGATCTGACAGACAGTCACTGCTCAGTGTGCTAAATTTAACAGGAGAGTAGAGTGCCGCGTACATGGTTATTGATAGACCTCCATAATCTATCTCCTCATTCTATCCGGCAGATACATTGGGAAGACAAATGGCCTGAGGAATCTGAAAGGCCAGAATGAGCATGGTAGATTGAAAGGGGGGGGGGGATCCAGATGAGCTACACCTTTTCTTACCCGAGCGAGGCAGGGGAGAACAAGTCAGGAAAGGTGAATAGGTAAGGACAGTTTATTCAGGGCTTCAAATGGATGTCAGATTGAAGAGTTTAGAGTCCATCAGGCCAGCTACCTCCCAAGCAAGGCCATCGAGGATTCTGGAGGAGGCGTGACGCATGAGATTTCCTTGTGGGACGTGTACTCCGGCGGCAGTGGCGCTGGCGACGGACGGTGTGGTAATGGTCAGCTATGATAAGTGCTCGCCACCGGGCTTTGTCGTCGTAGCTATTTGGAAAGAAGTGGTGTTGCCAGCCGATGGTGATTGCAGGCCAGTCCCTGACCGAGGGTTGTAACTTTGCTTCTTAGCCTCTGCAAGAGAAGGCAGAGGCGGTGGCATCTGGCCACAGCTGGGAGGCAGTGCGGGCGCGCCCAGCGGGAGCTGTAGGGCTGGGACTCGGGGCGGGGCGGGCCGTCCGGGAGCCAGGCCACGCCCCTCGCCCGCGCACGCGCACTGTGGAGCCGTGAGCTGTCAGGCGCCGGGCTGCGGGCGAGCGGCTGGATCCGACGCCTGCTCGTGGACCCCGCGCTCGGATCCCAGCTCAGCGACATCCGTGAGGGCAGCGCGGCCCCGGCTCCTGGGCAGGGCGCAGAGGCGAGCAGGGACCCGTGGGCAGCTGGCCGCGCAGGCAAGATGGGGAACAGGGAGATGGAGGAGCTGATCCCTCTGGTGAACCGTCTGCAGGACGCCTTCTCGGCGCTGGGACAGACCTGCCTGCTGGAGCTACCACAGATCGCCGTGGTGGGCGGCCAGAGCGCGGGCAAGAGCTCGGTGCTGGAGAACTTCGTGGGCAGGTGAGCGCGCAGGGCGCGGGGTGGGGGCGCAGCCCAGGGTTGACCCTGCTCCAGGCCGTTGGATCCTGGACAGGCGGCGAGAGCGGAGCGTGGACCCGGGGCTGCGGCCGAATGCGGGGCAGAGGCGCTGGCAGTGGGACTGGCGGGGTCCTCCTGCTCGGGGCAGCCTCGTCCCGCCCCCTGCGTGGTGGCCCCCGTCTCCCTTCATCCTGCGATACAAAGCCATTTCCTCCCGGCCCTCCGGTTGGGGAGTCAGAGGAGGGGTCCCTCCCCCCGCGCCCCGCCTGGTGCGCGCCAACCCTGGGCAGCCTGGCTGCGTACGCGCCGGGTGCTTTCCAGACCCCTTCTCTGTTTCCCGGCTCAACATCCTCCTCCTTTTCCTGTCACCCTACCCGGGGCGCTCTGCCAGGCTGTGGGGTTCCACCCCTCGCCCTCCCCCCGCCCCCCTCCAGTGAGGCTTTCTTCTCACCCTGGTTCTCGGATCCCTTCGGCTGTGTACTGTTCCAGACCAGCGTCGCCGGTCCCTAGCTGGGAAGGCGGGGTGCGAGGAGAAGGAAAACGTTTGTCGTGCTAAAGCTTCATCTAGAGATTCTTCCCCACCATTCTCCTCCCTGGAAAGTCGAAGAATAACATTGGTGTGTTTGTAGGTGCACCTATTCACAGCTATGGGCGTATGTCCTGGACCAGAGGCACAGACGCCAGGGGGTGGCCGTGGACTTGTGAGGTCCGGGTGCCATGTCATTCCCGCATCATCTCAGAACTGACCAGCATCTTTCTAGCACTCTCTCCGTGCCCCCGCCCCCAGCATCCTCTTCCGTTCCTTGAGCTCTTATTTGCCCTGCAAGTCTTCGAGATGACATTCTGAATCCAAATTGGTCTTATGCTTTCCTCTTGGCTCTTAGTAGAGAAAAAGCTAAAAAATGAATTTTAAAAATTGGGAATCAACATTTATTCTACTGAGCAATTCACGTGGGATTAAGTTACCTTAATGGCCTTGCTGGAGGAGTGCAGACATTTATGAAGAAACCCATTTAGAAGCATCACGAAAGCTGAAATCTGTTTCCTAGTAGTAAACCAGGTAGAAGTGTACAGCAGCTGAGAGAGTGGGCTGGAGAGGGACAGTCCAGAGACTATACTTTATTCTTTATATTTGGCTCATGAGTGACTTGCAGTGCAAAAGGTTCCTGTTTGTGTTTTTTTTTCTTTTTGTTAGTGCTTCATGATGTGTAAAATGTAGAGCTGGATATTCCCACATCTCTTTGGGGGTGGGTGCTAGTATTCATAAGCTGCACATTCTTTTCTCTCAGATGATACTTCATCTGTCAGATGAACTCGTTTTTTTCTCTCTCAAAGGAACTACACAGATAAGAAACCTAATAAAAAGTAAAAATGCTGACAATTATCTGCTGTTCTTGAGTAATTAATCACTTTGCCTCGGTCTTCTAATCTATTGATGATTAATGGGAAAAGTGATGGTGAAGCATTTTGCCTACGTCATTTTAGACTTCTGGTGGAGGGATGGATTTGATTGATTACATTTATTTTTTAAACAAGTACTTAAAGATTGAAATTGTAAGTATTTTAAATACAATTACCATATTCATATGTTTACTTAGATGAATCTATATTATAAATGCATTATTTGTGGCCAGAGCTTTTGGACTTAATGTAAATTTTATGCACATATCTCAATTCTATTCTCCAGATTCATAAATTCTAAGTCTTCTTAATGTTATTGTGCACATTCCCCCTTAATACCTGCATTCTTTTCTAATGTGAATACAAAAAGAAAGACACAGAAGAGTATAATGCTCAATTTTGAACATTTTTCATGATGGGATGAAAAATAGGAACAGTATAAATATAAAAACCAGAGGACTTAACAGACTGCATTAGTAATTTGTTGTACATTACAAATTCTACCAAGAATTAATTACTGTTAGAATGATAAAGAGAAGGAAGAAAAAAGAAAGAAAACTCAATTAACAAATATGTAAAGAGTTCATTATCTTTAGAGGTGGCACTTGCCTAGCAGAGATTATATATTAAGGAGAAAACTTAATTAGAAAGGTCATTTGACTTTAATAAAGATTTAAGTCATTGAATTATTGAGGAGTCTAATTTCTAATTATAACCCAACCTTAGGGAAAATGAAGTTCTCTATTTTGATAAAAGATTCAGCTGAGGCAGAAAAATCAGTATTCACATTCTACTGTAACTGTTTAACTTTTGATTTATTATCCAGGAATTTTGCAATCAATGTAAGATCCTTTTTTTTTTTTAAGATACAGCTTTTTATATGTAGCTGTTTTCATTTTAAGACCATGGTCAAATGTGCAGTTCTTGAATGTAGTTCTAAAACAAGGAGTCATTGCTTGTGTAAATTGTTTGCTCATGATTTAAGCTTATTCTCTTCAAAATAATGGTGCATTTTCTCCTTAATATTTAACAAACTGCATTTAGTGGACTAACTATATCTTTTTTTCTCAGATAGTTTCTTAAATTGATTTTTTTGACACCATTGAATGAATTTGGATGTGACTATGTTTACTTCATTTGACTGTAGCTGTAAAAACCAATTTTTGGTGACAAGTTTGAGATTGTTATGAATAAAATGAGTCATGAATGAACTCCTTGTTTGTGATTTTCTTGCTGAAGTGATGAATGTACATATTAATGTGATATAGTATGAGTAACCAGATTGTTCTTTTGGTTGCTCAGGATGAGATATATGCTGGCAGCGAGAAGTGGCTTAAGGTCTTATGAATAGAAGCTGAGTTCTGTGGTTTGAATATAGGGTTTCACTAGCTGGCTTGATTTGGCCCGTTGGTCTAGTTTGTATACAGAAGAATTGAATTTATCCAATTGCTTGTGTATATATGCATATATACATATATATGTGTACATGTATGTATATATGGTATATATGTATTTTAGGGCAGTGATGATAATAATAATGGCTAACATTTACTGAGTGTTTGCTACATGTTAGCTAATATTCTGTATTCTTTTACATAGATGATCTCTTTAATCATCATAAAACCCCAGAGAGATAGGTACTGTTCATGAGTTCCATGTTAGTGAAGAGGAAATTAAAACTTAGGAAATTTAAGTGACTCATTCATTGGCTAATTTAACATAAAATAACAGTGGATTGAGGATTCAACCCAAGATATTCGAGCTCAATAATCCATGCTCCATAATCCATTTGCCTCACCATATTGAGGTTTACCAATTCCTATGTTAAGTACTTTCAGCTTCTTCCTTGCTGCTATATAAACACCGTTTAAGTAAATAAGAGGTGATTATATTAATAATTTTATTTATATTTATGTACGTATATCTAACTGGCCTCACTTTGCCAAGGATTTGAGTAATCCTCTAGGCTGAAGCAATATTAATTAAAAGAAAAGTATTTTTCTTTACTCTATTAGGCATTCTTGAAGAGGACTCTAAAATATAACTGGGTTGTTTATTTAAATATGTGTTTAGAGTGCATATAGGTTGTTTATAGAGTGCTAAGTGAAAACTGTACTAGTTGCTAATGTTAAAATGTTTTTTAATGATACGCTAGTTAGAAACATTAGTTCTTCAATGCTAATTATATAGGTGGAAGACTACACATTATCTTATTCTAGCTTGAGTGCTAAATAGATTTCCAATTCTGCAAAGATAGAAATGGTTTTGTGGTTAATGTTGAACAAATAAAAGAATCAAAAGTATGGGGTATTTTTCATCCAACAACGAATTGGTAGAACTTGAAATCATACAGCTATTTTTTTGTTGAATTAATACTGTATCATATATTTCTATGTTATCACAAGTGCACAGTTGGTAAGGGTTTAATTACCACAAGCAACTTAATTTCTGTTTGTATTAATAATGTGTGAAAAGCAATACAACTAGTTAGACTGGACTGGTTAGAATATCTCTGTTTTGGAATTTACTTATGCACTTGACTTAATGCAGAAAATGCACTTGACTTAAGAGTGAAATTGAGCAAGCAGTCATTTAGAACACTGGAAACATGAAACAGTATTTATTGGGGTAGACTATGAGTAGTGTTAGAGGTAGACTACTGGGTTCCCTTTCAATGGGATCTACCTTGAGTGTACCATTTACCATTACTGTAACAGAATGCCAGAGGCTTGGAATTTTATTAAGAAAAGATGTTTACTTAGCTTGCAGTTTAAAGATTGAAGGTTTAAAGAGCATAACATGGTGGTGAGGTATCATTCATGGCAGACGGCATCATGGCAGATCGCATGTTAAGACAGGAAGCCAGAGTGAAAGAGAGGAAGGGCCCATCTTGCTCCTTTTAATAACAACCCTCTTTCAACTAACCAAGGTCCCATGAAAACTGCATCAATTCTTTCTAAAGGCAGAGCCTCCAGAGACCTTAATTACCTTCCACTAGACCCTACTCTTAATGGTCCCATCAGATCTTAATGTTGCCACATGTCTAACCCTTGTTGGATAAACCACATTCCATCATAGCAATATATCAGACATTTATCTCAGTACCTTTTTCTAGGGGTAATAAGTGGAGTTAAATTATGATTTTTTAATTATTATTGTGATCTAACTTAATTTTAAGAGAACTACAAGCTGCTAGAAAGAAGTGATTTTTTCCTCCTACCAGAATCAAGAGAACCCCAAGTAAATATAGTGTGTAGAATAATCCAACTTAACTTTCTATATAGCTGAAATTTTCCTATTTCCCCAATATAAGTCTGTTTTGCGATTCCTCAAGCTTTCAGCATTGATTTAAAAATCCAAAGAATTATGTTATACTCAACACATTTTTACATGGTGGAAGGAAGAAGGGGCCAACATTTATTTAGCCCTTAATGGGTAGCAGCCATGGGCTCTGTTATGCATTTCCCACACATCTCCTGTTTCTTACCTATTGTCTCATCCCTATGCCAATAGGGGAGGAGATGAGAGACAGGTCATTTGCCTAGGATCACATGGCAGTAAATCACCAAGCTGGGAACCGC